TAAGTCATTAATTAGTAAAGGAACTAGTAAGCTGTTACAACCAGTTCAAAGGAAAATCCAAAGAGCAGACATACACATAGGCAGAGGAGAACAGAAATGAATTTGTAGGTAGATTTACAAATGGCTTCCTCCATGGGAGGGGTGGGGCATGGGGATTCGTTCCCTCTTCACTGGAAGGATTAATTTGCAATATTACCAAATTAACATTTACAGAGTTATGAAGTAGCACAGTTAAAGGTACTGCAAGATGCAGGCCCCTAGAGAATCATAACCGAGACAGGTGTGCCTGATGCCCCCTAATCCTCTGCTGAAGATACCAGTATTTTCTTCTTGCCCATTTCAGTCTTTCACGGTCTGCCTGATCGTTCTTCCCCTGTCCTCTCCTTTCATCCTAATAATCTCAGAGATTATTCTTGATCACAGAAGAAGGTTGGTCTCCTAAGGTTTGGCCTAATTATTGACATTGTGTGGTGAGAGTGTTAATTAACCATGTAGGTCATCTTGGCTTTGCAAGTATAGACCCGTAGAGAATTATTAAACAACTATTGAGCCCACAAAATTAACTTCTGCCTGGAAATGTTTATAAGGAACCCGATTGTGCTTTTCAAAGGCTCTTTTATTTGCTATTCCAAGATTAGGAAACCAGGCCCAAAATACGCTCTGCCCTAGGTAAATCATAGTATTTACAACTTGGTTGAACTCCTTGAGGTTTCCAACATTTGCCAGGTTCCTGGTAGTTTCCTTACCACCTGTAAGTCCAGGCCTCTGCACACCAGGTACTAGGCCAGTTTTCTTAGCAGAGCTTTGTAGCCATTGGCTTCTTAATTTCAAGAGACTAATCATATCTGATTAGATGAGCATCATTCTCTAATAGGACAATCTACGTAAGGGCTTGGTTGCCCAACCATATCCTGTGGATAGATGCTAACTGAACCTATGAAATAATTTTATCTTGCCATTAAAATTAAGGGGGTTCAGTAATACTTTTCGAATTCTGGGGGAATCATTGAAACCTGGACATCATTTTTAAATGCTTCTGTTTAGCTTATAAAAGCAGAGTTTATAAGATTGTAGGTTAGAGATAGGATAAAGAGTAGGAGAAAAAGAACCCTCCCATATCCAGAAAATAGAACATTAAAACAGCATCAACAGTATTCCAGACACATAACCACAGTAAAATTTCCCTCTTTAGTTCATCCAGTCCTGTATAATTAATTGTTGTTCTGCCGGTTCTTGGTTAGCAGTCTGCGCTTATGAAGTCATTTGCATCCAGACTAAAGAGTCCAAAAATCTAAGGAAATCCCAATTCCGTCCACTAGCACAGCTTAAAAATTACCTAAGCAATGTCCACTCTGTAGCCTTTGCCCGAGAGTCTATTCTTTCGAAATATCAATATTTTTAAATACCTGGCACATTACAGCCCTTTTCCATGAAACTCTAAGATTGTCCTTTCTGGCCCGTAGCTTATAGCCGAGCCGTCAGGCAAGCATCAGAGTAAAACAGAAATTGTCCATATAGATTATGAAGGCTTTAATGGTTGGGTGTTTGTTTGTTTTTTTATTTTACTGTGACAAATAGTAATCATAATGGAGAAGAATAAAATTCTCTATTGAGATAACCTACATAACTATGTCCTGAGAGTTTTGATCAGTATTTGCCTGGAGGGGAAAGCATATTAGAGACAATGAGAGCTCTGATGAACCTCCAGGGTCCTCCCATAATTACATTAATTATTATTAATATTTACATTAATAAATTGTTATCTAAACTGACCTGACCTAGGGAAGGCCGAGCATCTCTTCTGATCTGTTAACTCTTCCCACGGAACTCTTAAAATAGCAACAGGGCAAACAAATAGAGTTATTTATAGTATCTCTCTTTTTATAAGGCAGAGGAGTAGATCTTTACAATTCTCAAGGATCCCCCTAGGGAATCTCAAAGGTAGTTGTAGGTGTAGAAAGTATCCTAAATTTTTTATTTTATTTTTTCAAAATATAGGGTACGGCCTAGGAAGGCAAAATCATCAAGAGTTGTCCAAGGTGTTTTTGGGACTTTAACCAAGTCAACGTAGAGCTCTGAAAATAATGTGGTGACACACAGAATCTTTGCTAGCGAGGCAGATTTTATAGAAGGTGAAGAATATCCTTTTGCATTGTAGTCAGAGGCATTCATCAGTGAGGCAAGGAAGCAAGCCATCAAAACTGAGGGAACTGTGCCAAGATTTTAATGCATTTTATGGCTCTTTTTTCAGACTTGAGTATTACAAACCAAAGCAAATAAAATTCACTTTCCAGGTTTTGTCCTTCATTTTTCGCTCTCATATTCTGGAACAAATTCGTACTTTACTTTAGAAGTGCCTTTATCATGCATAGTCTCTCACAAATGTACAATGGTGTTTTCCAGAGGCTGCATGATGAGTGGTATCAGAACAAATACAGAAAGAGATGAGTATCTGTCTCTCTTCTCTTAAGCCAGACATTAGAAAGACTTGCAGAAATGTTAAACAAGGCCATTTTTTTCATCCAAATTTGTCACCTTGGGAAATATAGTTAATTTTCACCAAATATGTGTTATTTATATTAAAATAGAATGGATTCTTCATTGCTATTTTCAACTGAATCAGTATTTTTTTTTTAAGATTTTATTTATTTATTTGACAGACAGAGATCACAAGTAGGCAGAGAGAGAGAGGAAGGGAAGCAGGCTCCCTGCTGAGCAGAGAGCCCGATGCCTGGCTCAATCCCAGGACCCTGGGATCAGGACCTGAGCGGAAGGCAGAGGCTTTAACCCACTGAGCCACCCAGGCGCCCCTGAATCAGTATTTTTTAAGAATTCCATTTTGATTTCAAATACAATAAATATTGGTAATTTCTTATTTAAACCAAAGCTCTTTGGTGTCCTCAAATTAGTTTTAAGACTGTAAAGGAATCCTAAGATGAAAAAGTTTGAGAGCCATTGCTTTAAGACAAAACTACTCCATTTTCTCTTTTAAAAACAAAAGCCCATACATAGTTGTATCTTGTTTCCATCATTGCCCCAATATAATCTCAACCACCCTTTTTAACTGATTAACCAGAGATAACTAACTTACATTTCATAGAGGAAATTGGGAAGAGGGAGGATGTGGATAATTGAGAACTGTCACATACAAGTATTTTAGCAGACTAACAAAGTTCATGAACACACATGACAGAAATTTCTCCTGCAAGATACACCACTTTTATGTCTCCTTAAGGTGGCAAAAATGAACATGTTCATGAAAGTGACTCACCGAAGTTATACCCTCTCTGTAATTTAAAAAATGAGAAGCAGACATATATAAACAATATTATGCTTTGTAATCAAAGTTTCGGTATTCTAACTTACTTAGAAATTATCTAAGGTTGTTATCCAATGATTATCAATTAGCTCTACTTAGAGTAATCCACTTTAAGTTGCTTGAAGATCTTGGGGATTATCTTTAAATTGATGTGCTATAAAACATAATTTCTATTTATATGAAAAGTTTACCAAAACCATTATTTAGTTGAACATGAATTTACATTTTTCATATATAGGATTATATTAGGCATAATAGTAGCTTATTTGGCCAGTTACTGTATGTATGTGTGTATATATATGTATGCATATATATATATATATTTATTTAGAAGAAATCAACCCAAGTAAAATAAGATGTACATTTGCTCATACTTAACACTGATGAATCAGAGAAAGACAGCTCTGTTTTAAAATTTATCACTCTCATCTCACTTGCCAAAGAGTTCACCTCAATTCTGTGAACTTAGATTCTTAAAATGTTACTGAGTTAGTGTTTTCTGTAAAAGAATTTTTACGTCTAGTAAATTTAAAGTTTTAGGGGCATAGTTTTCTTTTTTTTCTAGTAAGTTTATGAAAATTCAATTTATGTGAGCACTTGTTTGTCTTTATAAACCAAGCAGAACAAGTTCTTATAATCTAAAAAGTACCATAATCTTAAAAAAAAAAAAAAAGAAATTAAAACATTAGAAAAAAAGAATGCTGTAATCTAAGTTATTGATGCCCTCTGGCAATAGGCTAGCACTCCAGACATGAGAGGGAAGAGTCTTTCTGAGCAGTAGTCACAAACACAGAGATTGTGTGCTTTGGTCCCACAGCTTCAACCCCAGATCAGAGGGAAACACGAAAGCACACAAATCACCAGTCCGGATTACAAGGAGCTGTTCTCCTTCCCACTGGGCACAGAATTCTTAATTGATTTCAGTTCAAAAGAGAAAAATATTCCAATAGAAACAACCAAGGAGCCCTATTCCCTGCTCCCTCACCCAGTGGAAAATAATGTCTATAACCTTTTGTTAGTGATCACCACGTTGTCAGACCATAGAACTGGACTCTCCATGGTAGGTACCCCCAAGAGGGAATAATTCGTCAGCCACGTATGAACTAGAGAGAAAAATCGAGCACAAAATGAGTAGAGAGGGAATGAAAACTAGAGAAAATAGAGAGTCAGCAAAACTCAAGTCTGTTGCTGCTTTGTCTCCACCCTGGAAGCCAAGAAATGGCGCCTGGACTTAAGCCACCATGACACGCTCCACACCTCAGCCAACACGATTTACCTGACTCTGGCTGGTCAGTGCAGTGGGCGCTTCAATGAATGACCTCCAATACTCTTAAAGGATCCTTTAAAAAAAAAAAAAAAGTAAAATCATGGCTTTTGAACAAATACAGCATAGCCATGTACCACAGATTTTATCTAATTAAGGAAGGAGCTAGTCCCACCTTAAAATAAGTTCAAAAATCAGGTTTCTCTCAGCTTTTCTCAAGTGTCGGTAACTGACAAAGGTTCTCTCTTCCTGAGGCCTCAGCATCTTAAATAAACATTTTTATTCCATCTGATTTCTAAGGTCTGTGCTCTGGGCTAAGGGGAAGCATGCACACTGATTGACTTTGCCGGGCTTCCTGCCTTTAAGGCTTTCGCCTTGCTCTCCAGACCTGTCACTAACCCTGGCTTTCTTTCACAGTGACAAAGTCCAGGCCCTTTCCTATGCGCAGCACACACGGCAGCTCATCTCCTGTGGTGGTGATGGTGGGATCGTGGTCTGGAACATGGACGTGGAGCGGCAGGAGGTAGGTGTCAACGGCAGGTCACCGGCCACTCCCATGGCTGCCAGGCTGGACACTGCAGTTCTGGCTGGGCTGAAAAATGCCTCAGCCTCCCCTACTGCTCATTTCTTAGTTCTCTTAGGATGAAACCGTTAAATAAGACCTGTTAATGTCAGAGAATAAAAGATTCTAGTTGAAAAGGAAGTTCCTTTTTTTTTTTTTTACACCCCTCCCAAATTGGCATGTGACATTCACGTAATGGTGATTTTATGAGAATTTCAACCAAGACGAAGGTGTTTATTTAGACTTTGAATCTGTTGCTCCGTTCATAACCAAAGTTCAGGTGAGAAAGAGGGAGTCATCTGCTTTCAGACAATTATCCCTTCAAGTGCCCTAGGAACGCAGAAGACTCGCGTGTTTTGTGTTAGCCAGGAATGGTGGCCAATGTGTGAGAAATGGTATTTGATGAAGTAAGAGTCTTTAGGTTGATATTAATAGAAATTTCAGAAATAACTGTTTTTGTGCTTCTTTATGAATCATTCTCCAAACAGTTCTCCAGATGCAAATATATACAGTGTCATTTTTTAAGAATACATTTGAGTTTTCTCCTGGCGTTCTGTTTTTATGAGTTTACTTTTCATCTTTGAGCATCTTACCAACAGACATGTTTACTAAATAGACCCTTGACAAGGACTTTGAAGTTAGTTATATTCTCATTTCCCTAGAATTATGCTGGATGAACTTTCCCTTTGACGGTGTATATTCATCTAATGTATTTCCTCGCAGGATGCAAGACTTAGAAAAGCAGCACTTTAAAAAGACAAAAGCAATTTCCCAACTTCTTTCCATGTCTTCACCCCAATCTCATTTCAAGAGAGTAGTTGCTATTATCCACCATGTAATGCTTTTCAAATGCTAGTAATTAAATGCTTAAGAAGATTAAAACCTGACTTGCTCAAACCATAAATCCATGGGAGTTCTATTAGTAACTAATTAAAATGATCATTACTGTTAGGAAGTGGGGAATTGTAGAATATTGCTTTTGAAAGTACTACGAGGCCCCTTCAGTATAAAGGCAGGGAAATTGGTACAGTGTGTGCTTGGCCATGCCAGCCAGGGTGCCAGTGAGCCTACAGATCCTTCACGATAGCCTGCTGGGGTGAGGGACAGTCAAAGCCCGTCTGTTCCCCGTCCGCTTCTTCCCAGGCCTAACTGACTAGACCAGGAGAGGGGGAACCACTGGGCTCTCTTCCCCCAGTGCACGCAGACTCCAGCCTTGATGGATCGAGGCCCAAAGGAGGATAATGATGCTTTTCAGAGAGGACCCTAGTTAGTTGATGGGCAGTCCTTTGAGCCATCTTGCCTAAATTATGCACTTTGACATGCAGATACAGGTGATGACCGTCTTGACTCTTCTTCTGGTGATTCAGAGCCCAAATGAGTAGAGAGGGTCCCAACCATTTTTTTTTTCTTTTACAAATGTCATATTCTGTAAATGTAAATTCCCTGAGATGTATCTGGGGGGCTTCCGGGTCCCAGCCAGAGCTTGTGGTGCTTACGTCAAGAGTCCGGAGACATGTAAAAAAGCAACCCCTGCACTGATAGCCTTTCTGGTAGGAAAAAATAAATGGGAGAAGACTTCAGAAAACTGTTAAATGGTATAAATGATGTGATTACAGTTGCTGTAGGATAGAACATTAGTGCTGGACATTTAGGAAGGGGTGCTTCTGTTTTTGGCTAACATTCACAGCAGAGAGTTTGTGGAAGGAGATAGCGCTAAAAGACCCCTGGGGCCTGGCCGTGCTCTGATGGGGACAGGAAACACCACAAGAAAAGACAAGGTGAATGAGAAAAGTCATGCCCTGCGTGCTGGTGCTCGTGGGCAAGTAGAAGCAGTCAGGGATGGTGGCGTGGCCGTGGGGACAGCGTTGGGGGGACAAATGGAAGATGGTGTGGCTGAGTGCGTTATCTTGTAGGCTTAACATGTGTTTCTATTGTTAATGGAATCCATTTTTTCAAAAATTGTATCCTTTTTTAGAAGTATGGATAAACATTCTCTGTAGAAAAGTTACAGAGTGCTCCTTAACAAATAGAAAACATGTCCATTACTCCTAAGAATACCACCAGCCCAGGAATATCAGTAATGTGGTTACAGTTTCCTCTGCAAAAACACATGTGCAGGGTTTGTTTTTTGGGACAAAAAAAATGGAATCAGACTACACAGACTGATTTTTTCCCCTTTTGTCCTGTGCCTTACTTCCATTTTCCTCTTCAGTGCATTTGATGTATGTCCTAAATCTGCATATTTCCTTAGAAAAGATATGAGTGTGTGTGTGACAGTTTTTTGTAAATCCTCCTGATTTTCCTGAATCATAAGTGTTTTTGAAAAATCACAACGTAGATAAGTCTTTTAGGGATAAATTGTTTTTTTTCCTGAAAACTCTGTATTATTTTGTTAAAGCAGTCTTTAAACTGATTAGAGCTTAAAAATTACAAAGCAAATCAAGGCTTACTTAAGAACTCTGGTTTTAAGAAAATAAATAGACCAAGAATTGGAGCTTTTCAGATGTCACCTTTTTACTTTTCTTCTTTGAGACCGTGTGTAGCTGTAGGTTCATTTTTGCTTGTAGATGGGAGAACAGGTAACTCCCCAATTCTGTTCTGTAACAGGGCTTCTTTAGAAAAGGATTACATCAACAGAAGAAAGCTACAAGAAAAATAATCTTGTAGAGAGAGGGCACAGACCATTGTTTGCCACATTTCTCAGACTGGTTTGATCTTGGGCTTCCTTTATAGTAAGTGTCCTGTGAATCAAATTGGAGTTCTCTGGAACTCAGTTTTGAGAAACCCTGGGGTTGCATCTGTTTTCCAGGTTCCGGTTCAGTGATATGTGGAAAGAGATCTGTCCCTCTGCCAAATGACGAATTATACAGAGTTGGATGTGAAACTCTAGAAGCAGATGCAGAGTCACTATATGCATAATCTGTAAAGATTTGCTGAAGAATAGCTTTACGCTTAACACGTTTTTAAAACCCATTCGATATTGTTTCGAGTACTCACGATGGAGCTGGGAAATAGTGAACGGAGGCAGAAGAGTGTGTGGTCCATGAGGCAAGGAGTGGCGTCTCCAGGCCTGCTGGGCCCCGCTGTGAGCAGATGGTGGACAGGCAGCCTCCCTGAGTACCTGCTGCGGTCAGGGTGTATCTTCTGGCTCAGGGAGCTGTGTGCCTGTGGAATGTGCAGTTACATACACGGCTGTATGTAGTCAGAGCAAGTCTAACGGCATGTGATGTGAGAATATGAGATAGCGTCAACGTGGCGGTCAAAACCGTGTGTGAGTGACCTGGCCCAGTCACCCCTGAATGTTCCTGAAACCCCCCTCCCCACCACCCGTGGCATCCCCCTCCTGGCACTCTGCCTCCCCTCCTTAGGCCTTTGCACTTCCACTTACTTAAAGAATTGATATAAATATTGTTGTATTTCCCTCATAAATTGTGTACCCCGTGGTGGGAGAGATTCCGTTTATCACTGCTGCATCCCCACACTCGAGACAGAGTAGGCATTCAGTAAATGTTTTCTTAAATGACTGAGAAATCACACCTCTGTTTCTCATGAACACATCTGGATTCTGTAATTCTCCTCACTGTTAATGGCTCCATTGTCCTCCCTGCTTCACAACGTGACCTGTTGTGTGCTTTATTTCATAAGACCCCTGAATGGTTGGACAGCGATTCCTGCCAAAAGTGTGATCAGCCTTTCTTCTGGAACTTTAAGCAGATGTGGGACAGTAAGAAGATTGGCCTAAGACAGGTGGGTGATCTGGATTCCCTCATCAAAATGGAATAGAGTGGAAACAGCTTCACCTGTGAGCTTAGAACTAGCACCCCCAGGCAGGGGTTGGGGGGTGGGGGTAGTCAGGCATACCCTGGAGCCACTCCAAGACTGCTCATTAATGGATTCCCTTATCTACTGCAGCTCATTCCTACTGGACTCTGTTTCTGTAGTGACTTGTTCTGAGTAGTTAAGGGGTACATTTTTAGAATTATGGTGGCAACTGGGCACCTGAGTGGCTCAGTTAGTTAAGCAGCTGCCTTCAGCTCAGGTCATGATCTCAGGGTCCTGGGATCCAGCCCCGCATCAGGCTCTCTGCTCAACAGAGAGCCTGCTTCTCTTTCTCTCCCTCTGCCTGCTGCTCTGCTTACTTGTGCTCTCTATCTCTCTGTCAAATAAGTAAATAAAATCTTAAAAAAAAAGAAAGAAAGAATTCTAGTCGCTACTATGGGAATACACCTTAAAATTAGAGGGATCGTGCTTAGCTCATAGTGGGACCAAATCGTGACATTATGTAAGAAGTATTTATTTCTTCTTAATAATTTCACTTTCTCTCCTGCCATCTCTTAGTTTTAGTCGTTTAGAGCTACTCGTTCATAATACAGCATTTTCAGTCCGATTCATGGTTTGGTCCTCCCCAAGGAAAGCAGTGTAAGTCACCTAGCTTGAGCACAGCCAGAGTATAGGTAGTAGCTTGAACTGGGGTGCATTCACGCTGTCCTTCACCCAGCAGCATGGTCTCTAGAGGTGGCATCCCCTCCGTACCCAGATCTGAGATAACCTGGCCACTGGGTGGTCCTCTGGAGTTCATACTGACCGGAGCTGTGAGGGACCTAGGATGGGCAGAGCGGGACCAGGGTTGGGAGGTAGGGGTAGGAGTTGGGGGTGGTGATGCAAGCAGATGTGTATCCAGCAGTTCTCCATTTGAATAAAGAGCCCAAAAAGAGAACAGAGCTGGTGTGTTCCTTCCGTTTCTTCGGTGCTCTTGTTCAGCATCCTCACCAGAATGCGGCCGGCTGTGCCCAGACCGATGAGGTGGGGCCAGGTGGCAGGAGCCCTGGCGAGCCTGTGCTCTCTCTCCCTCCAGCACCACTGCCGCAAGTGTGGGAAGGCCGTCTGCGGCAAGTGCAGCTCCAAGCGCTCCTCCATCCCTCTGATGGGCTTCGAGTTTGAAGTGAGAGTCTGTGACAGCTGCCATGAGGCCATCACTGACGAAGAGTGAGTTCCAGCGGTCCTCAGACTTAGCGGGGTGAGGGAGAGAAGGTGATCCAGCCCTGCAGCCATGACCATGAGCGCCCTAGTTCCTGCTGGTTTCATGCACAGACCATGGCCGATGGGCAGAGCCCTCCTTTTTCCCAAGAGACCCGTGTTCTCTCTTTAGATAGGGAAAGAAAGTCCACATCAAGAATTCATGTCTTCTGTGCTCTTCCCCACCACAGGGGCAGGTGCCTTGCCAGCAGGTGTTCTTCCAGCCAACCCTGCTATCCCTTTATTTCCTTAAGGGTTGCTCTGGATTGCAGGCACCCAGGCTTTACTTTCTAGCCCAAGCTGGTATTTTTACAGGAGCTGAATCAGCCCACAGGCTCCAGAGTACACATTTTCTCAGGAAGAGCTAAGCCATTTTAGGTAACCACAGGGTAAATGCTTGATGGTCTTGCCCGATAACCTAGGACCTTAGGTTACTGCATGTCAGTGTGCTTTTGGCGGGGGGGGTGTGGGTGGGAGGGCACATTTGTGTTATCTCTTCAATGCCGCTCATTCCAGACTGCCCAGAGGTAAGTAGAATCCTCTGCGACAGGTCCCCCTTTTAATGAATGACAGCAGGATCTCCTAGGAAACTCGTCTGCCTGATTCTCCCCCACCTATTCCCCTACCTTGTATACAGTAGAATCATTTCAAGTACTAGATGGGTGTCTTAAACAGCATATAAATAGAAACGTATTTCAAATGCACCAGAGGAAGTCAGCATTTAAGGAAAGTCATGGCAGTTAATACACCAAAGCACTCTCTTATGGATAACCCTGGTGTGTGTGTTTTTTTCATTCTTCTTTATCCATATCAAATGTAAATTAAGATGCCCTTGCATCAGTAAGCATTTATGTTCATTGATTATTTTCCACTCCTCATACGTGATGAAATTAATAAGAATGATCTTTTCATTAAATTAGGGAGCTTCAAGAGACTTTAGAGACACAGACCCAGAGAGCCTAGGCAGCTACACATTAAACCTAAATTGTAAATTCTAAATATTTTAAAGTGATCATTTAAATATTTTAAAGTGATGCTGGAGGTCTGTTCTGCAGACGTAGCTACAGGTAAAACTGTCTTCAGAGAGCCCACTGCTGAGGAGTGGGCATCCATGAAGCCTGATGACGGACCAGCCTTCTCCTTCCCCATGTCCCTATCCCCCTTCCTATGTCACTCTTACTTCTGCCTCTTTTGCACTGCTTCTAGACCACGTAGACAGTCGACAGGCCTTCTTATTAAGCAATGCATAGGTTAAAAGATACAAAACAAATAACAATGTTAATAGATTGTTTTACTTGTTCAAGTGTTAGAAGACCATAGAGAAACTAAACCTGCAGTTACACCAGGAAACGGAGAAGAAAGAACGGATAGCCCTTTGATTAGAATAGTAATAGTATCCTCGGCTTTTTAACAGGTGTGCTTTTTTTTTTTTTTTTTTAATAGGTACAGGTAGACTTTATACCAGTAGGTACTTCTGAGATCAGATGTAGCAAAAGCACTGAGGTGTTTGTTTTAAGATTTGTCGAAGGCATGGGTAGAGATTTTTCATAGGCTCTATCAGAGCGACAAGTAATCCGTAAGACTTTGGGAAATGTCACCATCTCATTCCCATTTTGAAGAAGATAAGAATCCTTTCTTCTTTTAAAAAGGTGCCTTGATTGCTGGGTCCATTAAGCTTCTGCCTTCAGCTCAGGTCGTAATCCCAGGGTTTAGATATCAAGTCCCTCATTGGGCTCCCTGCTCCGTGGGGACCCTGCTTCTCCCTCTGCCTCCTTTTGTCTTGCTGTGTCAAATAAACAAATAAATAGATAAATAAATAAATAAAATTTAAAAATATAAAAATATTTAAGGAAAAAAAAAGGTGCCCGGGTAGCTTAGTTGGTTAAGTGTCCGACTCTTGGTTTTGGCTCAGGCTGTGATCTGATGGTTGGGGATTGAGCCCTGAGCCTGCTTGAAAGTCTCTCTCCCTCACCCTCTGCCCCTCCTGTTTGTACTCTCTCTCTTTCTCTCTCAAATAAATAAATCTTTAAAAAATAAAACCGAAAAACCATTAACAGGTTCCCAGGAACCAAAGGTAGATGTGAGGAGCAGTTTTGAAGTGAGGCACCTGTCTTAGTCATCGGGCTGCAGCTTTCCCTTCACTCATGTGTCACCACTCTTCACTCTTGGAAACTCACTTTGCTCCTTCCAGACGCGCACCCACGGCGACCTTCCACGACAGCAAACATAACATCGTGCATGTGCATTTTGATGCCACCAGAGGATGGTTACTGACTTCTGGAACTGACAAGGTTATTAAGGTAGGGCACCATCTTCTTTCAGAAGCTTTCCTTCTTTGGCCCTATGTCAATGTCCAGGAGCCCAGGACTGGGTGAGTTCTGCTCACAAGGTCACTGTGAGCCTCACACACCAAGATCAGACACGGCTCTTGGCTGCAGGGAGCACATTGTCTACTGGGGACGTACTCTGTCCTTTTGATGGTTACTAATAGGTCATATGTTCAGCAGCCAAAAGAGTGATACAGGCAAGAATTACCTTAAGAGCTTGGTAGAGGGAGATGGGGCTGCTAGAGATGGCTTCAGGAAGGAAGTGGGGTTGGAGCTGAGCCTTGAGTGAAAGGAAGGACTCAAATAAGCCAGCAAATAATAAACAAGATGTTTTCCCCATGAGATCAGTTAATCCAGAAGCAGTCCTCCAGGGTCTGTCTGAGGACCGTGCTGGATGGATGTGGTACCCCAGCAGAGGCCCCGGACAGGAGGGGCCACAGCTATGCCATGGGCTTGGCCCACTCTGGTCCCTTCTTGGAGGCACCAGCAGGATGTGGTGGTTAAAATAACCCCTTTCAAAGCCACTGGGGCCCTTGACTTTAAGCAAGTTTTAAAAATAAACTGGGAATCTTGGGTCCTTGATTTTTGAAAATGGGACATCTTGGAAGACTGGAAGACTAGACAAGAGAAGGTCTGGAAGGGACACAGCACGTCCCTGGGGCCCACAGGGGGCCTGATAGATGCTCATTCTCTTGTCCCAGAAGGGAATCTGATCTGTCAGATTCTGCACTCACCAGATGAAAATTCCCCACGGCCATAGTTTTAAAATCTACGTTAAACATTGTCAGATGGCAAAATACCATTTTATAGATTTAGAAATCACGTTAGTGTAGTACTTAGTTGCTTGGCTAATTAAAAGGTCACTTGTATTCAATCATAAGGGCTGTTAATCCTCAACACAAAGGAATTTCAGTTCCTCCTATGTTTTCTGTTCCTTTCCACAGTTATGGGATATGACCCCAGTCGTGTCTTGATGACACTCCAGTATCAGAAAGATAGTATTTACTCAAGAAGCAGTCTTTGGAATCCGCATCATTACTGGAGCTGTCAGCAGACACGTGAGATTCTGAGAGAAACTCGGGAGCCGGGCTGAGTTGGCATGGGACCTAGTGAGTGGACACTGGCGAGGGGACTCTTTCAACCAGTTCATACAATAGAAAAGAAGATATTTTTTTAACAAATGGTTTATACACTCTGGCCGTGCTGCATTGTTCTGAGCATACTGAAAACTCTGTGTGGGGTCTTTACTTGGTATGTGTTTCTCACTTCCTTTTCATTGTCGCTTCGTGTGTTGGAGAGATGAGGGAGGCATCTGTTAGGGATATTTTTGGTCATTATAAAGTCGTTTCCATGTTTCCTTCACTTGGGCGCATATTCTGTGTTCGGCGTCCTTTTCCTCTCTCTGTGTCACCTCCCCTCCTCTTCATGTCCACCTGTGTGCGTGTTTCTCTTTACACTCTGGATTCTCAGTGTTTGTGCTTTCACAGTCCTCCTCTTCGGCTGAGAGATTCAGGAAACCATTCGTGTGGGTTTTCCGAATGACTTCTTGAATCACCCAAAGAGTAGTCCGTTTGGAAGGTCTAACTCGTTCCTGTTCAGGCTGAGTAGACGCGACCTTGTGCTTCTGCCTCAGTTTTCTGTCTTTGCTGTGAGAAAGCTGCTCCCGACCCTTGTCCTCACAGAAGCAGACGATTGTAGCTCAGAGCTCCAACTCGCAGTGCCTGGATCATTTCTTCTTCCGTTGGAGCCTTCTGAGCCTTTTATGTTTTCATGTGATTCACGTAGCTCTTCCTCACGGTGTTCAAAACAAACCCAACAAAACAAAAAAATGCAAACCCCATGTCCTTCAGAAAAAAGCGTCTTTAACATGTGTCTGTCCACGTGACATCACCTCTGAATTTGAATGTGCTCCTTCCTGAGAGAGTATATCTTGCTCTGCTCCTCACCATCTGTATTTTCTTCCCCTTGAAAAACTAGATATTTAAAGATTTTTATCTTTGCGTATTTTAGCAGAACACTTTGCACACTTCCATCCTAAAACTCTGTGATCTGAGACATAAAAGGTACCGAGTCCTACAGCTCGTACTGGCTTCCGGGAGGGGGTTGTTAAAAAGAAAGAAAAGAAAAAAGAGGGCTTTAGAAAATGAACCTGAAGAATTCTGATTTTAAGGGAATCCAGTCAAACTTGATAAAAAATATTCTTGTGCGTAGTGACTCAACTCAGAATGTTGAAGTCCTTTTTAGAAGTCTTACTTTGACCTGCTTGCAGCAGGTGTGTGCCATGAGCCTGCCCCATTGTGTGCATTTTACACATCCCACCTCATTCACCCTCTCCTGTCAGGGATGTCAGGGAACCCCCGAGTCTCTTGAGGATCACTAGGTTCAATTAAGCCTTGCAAAGAAACAGGCCAGTTACTTGCCCTTCGCTATCCAAGCTGTCCGCATTATCTTGTTCACTTCTGATTTGATAGGTTTTTGGCAGTGGTGTTGAAATGCTTCCAATTTCTTTCTCTCTTTTTTGTTTTTGGAAACCTGTTTTTTCTCCCCCCTCATGATTATTAATTACTTTTCTTTCCAACCGGAAAAAGTACTGCCCACCATACTTCTGTCCTCTGACCCGTGTGCTCCCAGGGCTGGGGCTTCCTAGAGATGGCTCTGTTGCTACGCCCTGGGGAGTACAGTGGGTGTGCCCTGTGCGGCCCTGGTACAGGGCAGCCTGTGTGTCACCTGAGCCATCAGACCAGCTCCGTGACCACAGTCTAAGGTTGGATACGCGCGTGTACTTACTCACGCATGGAAGCCATTACCACTTGTCACTTCTCTGTCGCCTACTCCCCCTGCTTGCCATCAGTCAGAGCTGTTAGAACTAAGCTGAGTCTTGTCTGCATGATTGTGAGAGAGCTTTAAAAAGGGAATGAAATTTAAAATACTGAAATACCTATTTCATAGCTCACTTGGTAGAACTTGGAGCCACGTGCCAAGTTGTACATGACAGAGAACCGTGTGTGGGAAACGAGTAATGGAAATGAATTGCTCCTTTTTCCCTTTCTGAAGTTCGGAGTGTGGCCTGTATACGGAGAGGGAGACCGTGTCAGGAAGACAGTGGAGCAGTGCCCAGCGAGCCCGATGTGGATCTGACTTAGGTCTGGAGGAGCTCACACACCCCACTGGGGCAGCTGATTGTCCCTGCTGGTCACGCATGTCCACCACGGTTGCTCTGGGCTGGACCCCGCCCTTCACTACAGCCCTCTCCCCCTCCCCAGTCTTGCCCCCACAGAGCTGCTCCAAGGCTGAAACCACTTGACACCTCATTAGTGATGAGAGTCACGGTCAGAAACCACAGAGACATCATAGTATCCCCTGCTCTGCCCTTTTCTTTCTCCTTATCTGTGTGGGTGCTTGACTTTGTTAAGAAGTACTTAGCAAAGCAGTGGTGTGTGTGTTTATGATACTGTGCATTCTTGAGTTTTATGAGGAATGTCGCCACTGTTTTTTGTAACTCATGGAGAGAGAAGTGCTGGTGTCGCATGTCTTCCCCGCATCATATGGAGTGGAGACTTTGCTTGCTGGGAGTGAAAGCTGGCACCAGCCCTTGGCTTTTCTCCTGGCTGGGTTCATGGTCATAGTTCTTGTTTTGCCCTCTTGCAGTTGCACTTTACATATATTTTTGCTCTGTTACTTCAGCGGCTCTGGCAAGTAATGCCTAACATTGGCCATGTTGGGAAAGTGGCCGGGCTGCCCATCTCATGCGCAGACTTGCTCTGCATTCCGTAGGATAAAACCGATCGCAGGCTTTCGGTTTCTCCAAAGAAATGATGTTACTGGAAACTTTCAAGACCTGGGTTTGTGTCCGCAGTAGCTAAGGTGGTTTTAAATTAAGTACTTGGAATTGCATGTCTTTTTATATGCGATCAGTCAATGATGTTTTTCTCATTTGATGGTTTCAATTATTCAAGGAATCATAGAATCACAAAACTGGAAGGGATCTTCGGAGATCTAGAATGTTCCAAGCAGAAAACATTTGGTCATCCCAGGCCGTCAGATATAGCTGAGGTGAATCTAAAAGATTTAAAGAATTTTCCAGGAACACATGGTTTTGGACATTAACTACTAATGGCATGACTAAGACGAGTGTCCTCTAGGCGGTTCTCAGGAATCGGGCCTGATCCTCTTACAGGGGAATCTGACACTTCTTTTGGCCCCAGCCCTGTTTCTGAGGGGGTGGGTACTGTGCAATGATGCAATTCTTGCAGGTCCTGATCAGCGTAAACTCCTTCCTAGACTCTTCCTCATGGAAACCCCCACCCCCACCCAACAATGCAGGTGGAAATCTAAGGGCATTGACATTTCACCTTCCCCTGTTTGTCTGAAGGCCGGCCTTGAGCCAGTCTCTGAGTCTACAGCCTTTGCTTTTCTTAGGGAACGTCACCTTTTCATGGTTTGAGATTCATTTTTTAAAAAGCATAATTTATTTTTGCTTAACAATCAATTTTTAAAGCCTGGACATTGACTTTTAATTAAAGGGATCGCTCTAAACTCTGTACCAAAGTTACTGGACATAAATAGTCATGAAACAAGATTCCTTTGATTTTGCTTTTTTAATAGTTAAACTGTATATAAGTGATATCTCATTCATTAAGATATGTATTTTAAAGTAAAAGAAAGCACTTCGCCAATACAGTCTTTTTCTGTCCTTTAAAATAATGGCAAATTTTCACTGACAGTGGACATCTATGAAGATGATTGGGAAACACAGAAATTAAGTCCATTTTAAACACAGAATCCTCTAGGTGATCTTCTGGAGTGTAGCCCACTTCAGCCATTTGTGGACCGTCTGCCACAAGCTAGGCTCTGAACTAGGCTGTGGGGGGCTGGGGCCCATTCCCTGTCCTGGACAGAGGCCACTCGGGGTAGTGGATGGGTTACGTCAGTCCCGTGGGGTCCATTTAGTGATAGAAGTGTGCGCGGGGCCCGCCCCAGGAGTTATGCACACAGTGCCCGTCCCCCAGCAGAAAGGACTTCTGAGCCACAGGGTAAAGGTGCGGTTAGAGTGAGTCCAGTGAGGAAATGACTTGCAGACTGCCGAAACTGAAACAAAGGCCTACGGTCTGGCATCAGTCTGGTACGCGGATGCCACAAGTGGTTGGAGTTGCCAGAGGGTATCAAATACTCGGCTGAAGTCCTGGGGCCTGAGCTCTTGTCACTATGGCGGGGGGCTGCTGTGCGGGGTTCCCCATGACCTTGGAGGGAGCTAGCACATGGAGCACCATAAGGGATTCCCTCGGAGTTTGAGAGTCAGGTTTTCCTGCAGCTGACCGAGGCTAGTATCTAAGTTTTTTGTTGTGGTTTGCCTTTAGAAAGACCTGGGGTGGTGAGTGGTTACTTTAATATGACCCATGGCAACTAAGTTTTGAACTTTCTGGAGGCACAGCCCCGCCCCAGAGGCCGTGAGGTGGATCTGGAGTCCCCTACACGCGTGGACTTGGCTTGGGAGAGTTTACGTGCTAATTTCCTCGTGACACAGGTGGGCCAGGCTCAGCTGCTCCCCTCTAAAAATGGAAAGACCATGACAGGTAGTAGGAGACTGTTCTAGACAACTTCAGCATCAGGAATACACAGAGCCAAACCCGTTGGTGCCTAAGCAGGCAGCCACCCTCCATTTCCCCGCTGGCCTGAAATCATTCTTGCGACTCATGGGTCTTCTCAGTACAATGTAGGAAACGTGCTACACCCCCATTGTAGTGCCTCTCGCCACATGCAGGGGAACGTTTTTCTCAGGCCAGAGGCCGTGGAAGAGGCTCAGGCAGCGCCCCCTCCGAGACCTGGCTCTGCCCAGCAAGGGCGTCCCAGCATCCCCCATGAGGCTTGGCACTTTCTGGTTCTTGCCGTTACTTCCATTTGCCTTTTCCTTCCACTGCCCAACTCTCCTATGTGCATAACTTGATAATTCCAGAATATTCCTGTTCATTTTTCACCTTCAACTCAATTTCATAACCAAGAATTATATACATACCAACCCTCAGGGGTTTTAGTCTGTAATTTTGCCTTTAAACATGATCCTTTCCATTGAGAAGCCTGTTTAGACCTAACACGCAAAAGCAGTCTCCAAGAATATGATCTGTCCAAGATCGGAGTGGGATCCCTCCTTTGTGTTTCACATGCCGGGAGCATTGTTCCTGTTGGAGCAGACAGTCGCTCGTCATCAGAGACGCGGGAGGGCGGCTAAAGCCTGGAGGAGGGACTGAACTGGGCGGTGGTTCTTGGGACCCCTCCAGTCCTGCGATCCTGTCATTCCACGAATGTTTAGTGTTGGACTAGTGGCTGACTTAACTCCCGACAGGCAGGCGAATAGGATCGTGAGGTCTTTGTGTTCTTTCTCATCAAGAAAATTGCTTTCTGCATTTTTCCATCTAGAGGTCTGGAAAAGATGGCGAAGGTGGAAGTTGGTCTTGGTACCACCTCACTAAAAAATAAGATACCTCAACACGTTCACCTTGGTGACTTAATAACGGTAGCTGACTTTCTTGGGAGAGAAAGTGGCAGGGAACCGCAGGTTGGTTTCAAGGTTAGATTGAGAATCTGACCTTGATATTTTTTTCTCCTGGTTCTCTGGGAATCCGAAGAGGGTGAACTTGAATACAAAAAGGGACAATGGTCTGCAAAACCTATTTCATTTACTTGCTTGCACGTTTTTTTCCCTCCCATTTGAATAGATGGCAGCCTTAGGTCAGTAGCAGTCACCCATATGGAGTACAGACCAGACACTTGTGTCACTGATAACCGTGGTACTCTTCATATCTTTGTGTTGGGTACCATTTATTTGCCTTGCTTTTTAAATGAGTTTTTTTCATGTACTGTCTTTTCGCAAAAGAAAATCTTTATCTGAAAAGTATAAAAACTGTTATTAACTGGACAGTGGGGAAGGTGCTAGCCCTCCGTCCGTGCCTGCCTACCTGCTGCCGTTCCTAACCAGGGCAATGGACCCTTCCATGCTGCACGCCGTCCGTCTGGGGCCCCTGTAGAACCTGGCTGCAGCAGGCATGTTACTTCATGGATATCTTTTTCTTTCTTTTTGAAATGAGATTCCCCAAGGGGTCAGGTTGAGAATGTCATGAGCCCAAAGCCGGAACAGATTTCTCAAATGCGATTCCAGCAGAACCCTTCCGGCCTCTCCGTGCTCTCTGCCACTGGAGACATTGACATTGACTTCCTGACTGAGCAGGTGGACTGAGCAAGACTGCTTACAATGTTAAGATGCCTGTATCCAGTTCTACGTTCCAATGCTGCTGATGTTGTGAATGTTTTTAGACTCTGCTCACATTCTCACTGTGTTCCCTCTAACTGAAATATGCCTGTGGCCATTACCAATGTAGAAGACTCTCAATGCAAAGTTGCCTCCACGGTTTAAAATAAATCTCTGTGGAAACATTCGTGCAGCTCTAGTGCCATCATTGTTGTCGTCAAGCTGAGACACATTCACCACAACAGTCCTGCCTTGGTGTTCCCCGGGCGAGAGAAGGCAAGTCTCCAGGCCACTCCTACACCTGACGGTCTAGAGCCCAGGGAGAACCGTGGTCTGGCGAGACTTTGTGCCCAGCAAATGGGCTGTGGCCATGTGGTCCTCTTCATTCTCTTGATCTTGCACATAAGTGTGCTCTAACTGTAGTTAATAAATTTTCCAATTGAGGAGAAAGGACTTCAGGGCAAATGTAGCTAGGAGAAATCTCTCTAAAAACTCAGGAAGCCTATTTTATGGATAGGAAAACAGGTGAGAAGAAAACAGTGGCTTCCATGGCACTGAACAGACAGTGTGGGGGAGGGCTGGGGTGCCCTTCATACCACAGCCCATGGGACTGGGGGCCCCTCTCCCTCCCAGCCCCTTTGTGCCAACACAGCCTACCCATACCCCACACTCCAGAGTCCCCCCTTTCTTTCGAAAAGGGGGGATGCAGTCAAATGTAGCCGAAAGTCACTGCCTTTCCGGGCAGACACACTCAGAAAAACCCCTTCCTTGGGGCTCCTTGGCTGGACCTGAGCAACTCTGAGGAACCGCCCACTGGGTTTTTCTCCACCGTGGATGACGAGTGAGGGTGGTTTCGCTCTGAGCCCCAGGCGTAGAGGTAGATATTCCTACGTCTGTTTGCTGATTTTGCTACAACTTTGCAGTCATTAGGAGGTAAAACGGTATAATTTAGAGTTTTTTTCCAAACTAGCACTAGCATGCCGGTGCATTATTAAAGCCACTCCTAATCTTAAGCAGATGAATTTGTTTATGTAAATACACACTGTCCCTAATGCCACACGGGACACAGGACAGAGACAGCGTGGGGCCCTGTCTTGGAGTACAGAGGTGTACAGCTCATTTGCACATGTCCCTCCTCCCACCCTGCTTCCCTCAAACCTACAATGTAGGCTGATCTTGAACCCAGAATTTTTAAGAAAACCACATTCTCAAAAAAAGGAGAGATTCATACAGAATGGAAAACAAAAAGCAAAACAAAACAAAAAAAAAAAAACTGCCACAGAAGCTGAAGGTCGGCTTGTTCCTGGCCCTGGGCACATTTATTTTAATATAGAAGTTCCCAATCCACCGAAGTTCTCGTAGCTACAGTGGCACGTGCAGGAGAAAGGAGAAGAGGCGTCTGCTCAGTGGCCCGTGGTCCATACCTTCTCTGCCCCTGAGCTGAGTCTGGCCTGTCTTAGACCTCTGAGCCAGCTCTTCTGGGATTTCTATCAATTTCTCCCCTCCAGCTAATGAGGACGGTGTTCTAGCAAAAGGCAAGTATGTGGAACCAGTTTCTGACCTAATAGTGAGTGGCACGCGCAGCTGTGAGAAGGGCAGCTCCCCGGCTGACCTTGGCCTGCGGCTGTGAGGACCTCAGGTCAGTCAGGTCACCCATGTCACTCACACCCTCCAGGGGCCCCCCCGAGCGTCAGGTGCCATCCCTGCCCTCAAGGGCCCACACGGATGAGGGTCCTGACGTGCTGCAAGAGGGAGACCGAGCAGGGGAGAACAAGGAGTCAAGGGGAGTTTGACTCAGGACGCGGGGGCTGAGGGAGAATCTCCAGACGGGTGTGGCTGGGGTGGGGGTGGGGGGACGCTGTGGACGGTCGGAGTGGGACGTGTTCAGGAGCCGGCAGGTGGTAGCCAGGGGAGAGAGGCACCCATCCTCAGGGCCGCCGGGTCACCAGAGCCTCAAGCAAGAGTGGTTCTCCATAATGGCCGAAGATCGAGAGAGCAGACCCTGGTTTCCACCCGAGGTCGAGTGTTCTCTGGTGCCCTCTCCTCCCAGCGCGGCTCCTCTCCCACAGCTTGTCCCTCGGGACCCTGCCCAGCTAGAGAAGAAAACCTGAACGGATAACAGCCACCAGAAATAGAAAAGCAGAGTCATGGCTCACTCGCTTCGCGGGGCTGCTTTGGACAGATCCCATTCCCTGGGGTTCGGTCAGCTTCCCAGATGACCTTTCACCTCCCAGGGCGGATCACCTTCAGCCAGGGCCTGTGGGTCCTCGCCTCGCCCAGGACTCTGAGAACAGGGATCACAACCGGAGGACCTCTGTTCTCCGGGGACCCACTCAGTTCAGAAGGAGAAGAAACGGGGGGTATAAAATTCAGGGAGGCACTTTGCAAAACCCACCCCAACAGGCAAAGGACCGTCTCACCAGCAAAGCCTGGGCACAGTCCCACCCTACCCTGAGTTTCATGCAGGGGAGGGTCTACCTCGAGAGGCCCCCAGCCCAAGTTAGAGAAAGAGGGTTCATAGACAGGAAGTCCCCTTGAAAGAATCTGCTGAGGTGTGCAGGGCGGCGGGGGTGAGGCTAGCCACGGCGCGCTGTCCACCCCTTGTGCCCCAGAGCACACCCGCCCTTGAACCTGGCGTGGAACCCTCCTACTGACAGCCTCACAGCTGTGAGAAGACCCAGCATTCTCAAGGGAGGAGGTTGGGTGTGCTTTGCTTCTTTTTACTACCAGTACCTCTAATAAATAATACAAAGGAATGTGATCGTACACACCTCGCTTTCTCCTGCAAAACAGCATCTAGCCAAGCTGCTTGGTTCCAGAGATTCTTCCTACAAAGCCCTGGAGGCGTCGCCCCTCGTCCTGGGTGGAAAGTGCTGCTCAGCCAAGCCGGGAGTGTGTTGGGTCCTGTGTCCTCCGGGCCCTGGGACATGGGCACCCGTGCCAGCCCAGCCCGAGAGCAAGATCCCCTTGGAGTCCCTCGCCCCTCTGCGTGCAAGGACACAGGGTCTCCCTCTAGTGCTGGGAGGGCCCCACTGGAGGCCTAAGGGGATTAAACACTCAGACTCCTGCCTCCTGGCTTAGCTATCTCGCTCAAATGAGTCTGGCCTCTCTCAGGATCCAGGCGGATGGCTTCTTGGATTGCTTAAGTGTTTTCTTCTTTTCAGGGAGGACTATAAGAAGAAGGGAAAGAGCTTTACTTCCTCTGCCAAGCCGCTCTGCCTCATCCTCCCACCCCATCCCGGCCCCAGGCTATACAGAGTTTTCTCACCTAGTGTCACCCCCCCACCCCTGTCCCAGGCCCCAGGGCTGGCTGCAGGATCCACCCCCCTTTGCCCCCAGACCTCGGGGAAACACAGCGTCTCTGCAGTGAGCACACTGGGAAACAAAATCTTGTTCTCCTGTGAAGCCAATGAAAGAAGCGAAACCAGAGTAAACATTTGAGAGCTATAATGAGACCAGAGGATTACAGAGAGAAAGGATCACATAATCTGGGGGCCTTATTTTTTAAATGAAAAACTTCCTTCTTTTCACAGAAGCAATACTTACTTGTTTCTTATGGAAGAATGAGGAGATACTGATGAGCAAAGAGAAGGCATTTGAAGCCTTCTGTTGTCCCACTCGTGGAGGACAAGCATCCGTGTACTCAGGGCCCTGCCCGGCCCCCCTGCTCCCCCGCAGGCCTCCAAGTCCACAGACGGGCTGCCTGCACCCAGAAGCTCCACTGGTGCTCTGTGACCTGTGGGCGACAGATGGCAAACTGCAGGTCCAGGTGGTGGGTTTCCTAGCACAGATTTTATAAGCACACAGGTTGATGTTGGCATTGTCAGGATGATGTCCCTTGGGAGGAAAAAAGAGCCTGTGGGCTCTCCCATGGCTTGGTGGCGCTCATGGGCAGGCAGAGCCAGGCAAATCTCCCTTAGGCAGGGAGAAGAACTAAGAAGCCAGTCTCCCAGCACGCCTGGCCTGAGCCTCTCCCGCTGTGTGTGCTTCCCTGAGAACATCCCCCTTGCATTTGGAACAGGATATGCAAAGCTTCTCGGATCCGTGCCGCAGAGGGCGAATCTGCCAAGTCTCCCAAGCCAGGTCTCCGAGGGACGCTCCGCAGCACCAACACGCCTTTTTCTATGGGCTTGTGGGTGTAGCAACCATCGGATCATAAGGCGTGTACAGTTTTGGAGCCGGATCTCTTCATTTAATGATATAGAGCAGACAGCTTTCCTCTCCCACAGACATTTATCTACGGCAGAGTTTTCAGGTTTGAACAGATTTCTTGTACAGGTGTTCCATAATTTATTACCTCCCTCTCCTCTCACTAGTGCTACGACGAGAGCCTCGTTTTCCAGATCTTTAATTATTTCTTAGGATGAACTCCAAGGATATCTATCCAAATGTTGGGCTTCTAACAAACTGGCTTTCGGAAGAGGGGCAGCGATGTTGGAGAGATTGCTGTGGGAGGGCCCATGGGGACAGGGCAGCCTCTGAGCTTGGTCCCTGCCTGTAGATGGGGGGATAGCAGTGCCCCCCCCCTCACGGGGGCCGTGAGGACACAGGCACTGTATCCAGCTGGCACGTCCAGGGGTGGGGGCATGGGGTGTCTGCTGTGACCGCAGCTGGGTTTAGTTGCCTTGTTTGCGGAGGAGGCCTGTCCTCTTTGAAAGCTCATCATAGAGTTGGGAAGGGCAGATCCCTAAGAGTTCTGCTCCCCTTCTCTGCTGTTTCCACGCTTCCAGATAATCCTTATCTCCTTAGGCATTATTACTTCCCTGTCCCCAGGTCCCCATCGCTCTCCTGTTGACTTCCCTGGGCCCTTGTTCATGCTTCTCGGACATGGAATGCCAGCATTTACCAGCCCCCTTGGCCACCAAGCCACTGTGGTCAGGAGGGCTGGCGGAGGAAGGGGCACCCCAGCTGCCCCGCCTGCACTGCCCCCCCATCCCCCACCAGGCACAATGCAAACCAGAGGCAAAAGCTCTGCTTCTGAAGCTGAGGTTTCTCCCTTTCTAGTCCCAATGTGCCCCTCTTAAATGGAAATGAAGCAATTCCCCAGTCCTCATTACGCTGGTTTTAGGTCATTCTTGGGGAGATTCAATCCTGTGGCTGCTCAGATATTTTTAGATGAGCCGTAAGCTGCATGGAAATTAAAGGCTGCGACCTCCCTGCTGTGATGAGCCCTGGATGGCCAGTGCC